TCCCATTCTGTGGGCTGTCTATTTGCTCTAATGATAGTTTCCTTGGCTGTGCAAAAGCTTTTTAATTTGATCAGGTCCCATTTATTTATTTTTGTTGCTGCTGTGATTGCTTTGGGGGTCTTCTTCAAAAATTCTTTGCCTAGGCCGATGTCTGAAAGGGTCTTCCATACATCTTCTTCTAGGATTCTTACGGTTTCATGCCTTAGGTTTAAGTCTGTTATCCATCTTGAATTGAGTTTTGTAAGAGATGAGAGGTGGGGATCCAGTTTCATTCTTCTGCATGTAGCTATCCAGTTTTCCCAGCACCATGTATTGAAAAGAGATTCTTTTCCCCAGCGTATATGTTTGTCTGCTTTGTCAAAGATTAGATTACCATATGCCGATGGTTTCATCTCTGGATTCTCAGTCCTGTTCCAGAGGTCTATATCTCTGTTCTTGTGCCAGTACCATACTGTTTTAGTTACTATAGCCTTTTAGTACAGCTTGAAGTCTGGTAGACTGATATCTCTCAGTTTGTTCTTTTTACTTAAGATTGTTTTGGCTATAAGAGGTCTTCTCTGGTTCCATACAAAGCATAGAATTATTTTTTCTAGATCTGTAAAGAATGATGATGGTACTTTGATAGGGATTGCATTAATTCTGTAGATCACTTTAGGTAGTATGGACAATTTAACAATGTTGATTCTACCAATCCATGAGCAAGGTAGATTTTTCCATCTGTTTATATCTTCTACAATTTCTTTTCTTAGTGTTTCGTAGTTCTTCCTGTATATGTCTCTCACCTCTTTCATTAGATATATTTCTAGATATTTAGTTTTCTTTGAGGCTATTGTAAAAGGTTTTGCATTTTTGATTTGAATTTCAGCTTGAATGTTATTGGTGTATATGAGTGCCTCTGATCTGTGTGTATTGATTGTATCCTGAGACTTTACTGAATTCATTTATCAATTCCAGGAGTCTCTTGGTTGGACCCTTGGGGTTTTCTAGATATAATATCATATCATCGGCAAAGAGCAAAAGTTAGATCTCATCTGTCTCCATTTGGACACCCTTAATTCCCCTCTCTTGTCTAATTTTTCTAGCAAGGACTTCCGGCATTATGTTGAATTGAAGTGGAGATAGTGAGCAACCTTGTCTGGTTCTGGTTCTAAGTAAGAATGGTTTCAATTTTTCCCTATTCAGTATAATATTGGCAGTAGGTTTATTATAAATGACCTTGATAATTTTAAGGTATGTCCCATCTATGTCTATTTTGCTAAGACTTTTTATCATAAAGGTGGGCTTTATACCAGGGATGTAGGGCTGGTTCAACATACGCAAATCTATAAATGCAATTCACCTCAAAAATAAAAGAAAGAACAAAGACCATATGATTCTCTCAATAGATGCAGAAAAAGCATTTGACAAAGTCCAGCACACCTTTGCATCTATATTCATGAGGGATATTGATCTGTAGTTTTCTTTTTTTGTTGTGTCCTTTCCTTGCTTTGGTATCAAAGTGATATTGGCTTCGTAGAATGAGTTAGGAAGGATACCATCTTTTTCAATGTTTGAAATAATTTCTGTAGTATAGGTATGAGTTCTTCTTTGTATGTTTGGTAAAACTCTGAAGTGTAGCCATCTGGTCCAGGACTTTTCCTTTTTGGAACGTTTTGAATTGCTGCTCCAATTTCTGTGCTTGAGATTGGTCTATTCAGGAATTCTATTTCCTCCTGGGTGAACTTAGGTAGGTTGTATGTTTCCAGGAATTTGTCCATTTTCTCCTCATTACGTAGTTTTTGGGCATATAGGTTTTTATAGTAATCAAAAATAATGTTTTGTATTTCCATGCTGTCCATTGTGACCTCTCCTTTTTCATTTATAATTGAGTTTATTAGAGTCCTTTCCCTTCGAATTCTTGTCAATCTAGCAAGAGGGCTGTCAATTTTGTTTTTCTTTTCGAAAAACCAGCTTTTGGTTTTGTTGATCTTCCATATAGTTCTTTTGTTCTCAATTTCATTTAGTTCTCTTTGATCTTAGTTATTTAGACAAGTTTAGACACAGAGCAACATATCCTGGTTTTGAATATTCACACAAGTCTTCATATTGGACCAGAGAAAAAGAGTGACATTCTTTTGAATTATTAATTCAAACCTTACCATATAAGAGTCTTGAACGAATTTTATGATGCAGAATGCCATTCCTTCCTCTGCAGTTATAGATGGGTGAGGTATATCTCTATTGCATCTTCCTGAAATTTCTCCTCTTTTTGTTAACTAAGAAGACTTGCAGTTCAGTGTTAGGTTTTGTAATATATCAGTCAGTTTTTTATTTCTTTCTCTCTAAGTTAAAAATATTTTTATTAGAGTTCTTCAGAGAAGCGGAACCAATAGGATGTGTATATACATATGGAAATAGATTTATCATAAGGAATTGGCTCATGCAGTTATGGAGGCTGGTAAGTCCACAATCTGTAGTGTAGGCCAGCAGGGTAGAGACCGAGGAGAGCCAATGGTGCAGTTGCTGTCTGAATGCAGTCGGCTAGAGTATTCTCTCTTCCTGAGGAAGGCTGGTCTTTTTGTTCTACTTAGGCCTTTGAATGATTGAATGAAGCCCATCTACACTATGGAAAGCAATCTGCCTTAGTCAGAATTTACCAATTTATGTGTTAGTCTTATCCAAAACCACCCTTCAAGTTGACACATAAAATTAAACTATCACAGTAGTAATATCAATTCCTGTAGAGATATTAACACTTAAAAAAATTGTTTTAGAGAAGGGTCTCACTCTGTCTGGAGCACAGTGGTGTGATCATAACTCACTGCAACCTGAAACTCCCAGGCTTTAGTGATCCTCCCACCTCAGCCTCTCGAGTAGTTAGGAGAACAGTTATGTACCACCATGCCTGGCTAATTTTTAAAATTTCTGTAGAGATGGGGCCGCTGTTGCCCTGGCTGGTCTTGAACTCCTGGCCTAAAGCAGTCCTCCCACCTCAGCCTTCCAAAATGCTGGGATTACAGGCATGAACCAACATGCCTGGCCCATTTTAACACTTTAAAATTAAACATTTTTCCCAGAGACTTTAGGTGAAGGTCTCTTCATAATAGTTTGATTGGAACAGGGTGAATCTTTTCATGTCTATGTACTGATCTTTCTTAAGCTCACTGTTTTACTCTATTCCACCCTTGATTTTTCACAATAAATAAATTCCATTTATTCTAGTATCCTCACAAGGATGGATAACTTATTTTACCCATGTTGGCTCTCCATTGATCATCATGCGTGTCTCAAATCTTCTGGCCACCACACACCTCTTGGAAACTCAGTATCTATTTCCACATTGTATCTTTGTTTCTTAGGATGGACAAACACAGCCGGAACATAGAAGACCAGAAGGTAGAGGAGCAGATTTGCCCTGAGCTCATTTTCAGGCACTTCAAAGAAAATAAGGTGGAGATTGCAAGTGCAATAACAAAGCCATTTCCTTTCCTTATGAGCCTCCGAGATCGCTCCTTCATCTCTGAGCAGATGTTTGAAGTAAGTGAGATTTCCTCACGATGACAAACCAGGCCCACTCTCTATTATGCCAAACTTTAGGATGCAACTGTTAATGGAAAAAAACAAACTCTGTAAAATAACTTAAAGAGGTTTATTCTGAGCCAAATGTGAGGGACTGTGGCCTCGAGAAGCACAGTCTTAAAGGCCCTGAGGTGTTCACATTACAGTTTGGTTGTATACATTTTAGAGCGACAGGAATTTCAGGTAAAATCGTAAATCAATATCTGGAAGGTGCACATTGGTTTGGTCCCAAAGGTAGGACACCTTGAAGAGGGTAGCGTACAGCTTATAGGTGGATTCAGAGATTCTTTAATTTGTAATTAGTTAAAGGAATAAAGTTTTGTCTAAAAGTTTGGAGTCAGGAGAAAGGAATGTTTTAAGTTAAAATAAGGAAGTCTGATAATCATAGAGCTAGCCACAGTATACTCAAAGTGATCTGTTAAGCAAATTGGTGGGCTGCAGGTGTGACTTAACCTTTTTTATAATTTGGTATCTTATTGCCACAAAGAGTCTATTCTATCAGTCTTATGGTCTCTATTTTGACATTAATGCTGGTCAGTTGTTGTGTCTAAACTCCAAAAGGGACGGGGTATAAGGAGGTGTGTCTGACCTCCCTTCCCAGCATGGCTGGGAACTCAGTTTTAAGATTTTTCTGGGGTTCCCTTGGCCAAGAGGGGGTCTGTTCAGTCGGTGGGGGCCTTAGGATTTTATTTTAGTTGACTTAGTGAACAGGCTGAAGGGCCTCCTGTGAATGGGGGCCTTCACCATCCTGTAAGTTAGGAAGCAACAGGAGAGGCAGGCATCATGGGAAACATTCCTTCTCCTGTAGTGAATGTTGGGAGGCGGGCACAGCGATGGAGCTGTCGCTGCAGGACAGGGGATGAGAATGCTGCATAGGTGTAGAGCATCTTGGGGACATTTGTGCAATATTCTAACGGAAGCTACATTTAAATAATTGAGCGAGGCAGCGATCCATTACAAAGGCCACTTATTTGAAACACTGAAATTTTTGAAACTCAGCAAAGTCGTGTCACTGTAGGATAAATATTGAAGCAGGTGCTTTCTTCTCTCTCTTCAAATCATTTCTTGCTCTTTGGACATTTCTGGAGCCCTAGAATGCAAGTAAATGTCAGCAGTGGACTCCCGCAGGGATACTGAGGATGAGCCTTCTCCTTGGTTTCCTGAATTTTCTTTGCCCTTTGGCCAGGTTCACAGCAGGGAGGTTGGTTGCCTGGTTTCCTGGGGCCCATCAGACTGGGCCAATCCTGGCAGAGGTTATTGTCCGTACAACAGAACAGCCTCTCACGACCTGTTGGGGCCACTCCTGAAACACCCCGGCCAGTCTCTCAAAGCCCCAAACAACATTCAACCTCAAACCCATATTTATTATTTAAAATTACTCTCTCCTCTCTATTGTACAGCAATATCAGAGGGTCAGTTTCACAAAAGTCGTCCAAATATAAGTGAAATTCTAATATTTCACAAGAAAACAAATGTTCTATCTATGAGTGTTTTATAACCCATAAATCCATAGCTACATAATTCTCCATTCAATATTTTTAAGAATTTTCATGAAGCTTGTAGAAACCTGGTCCCAGTGGCGAGAGTGATATATGATGTCCTCAGTGAACTGGAGAAGACATTTGACCTGTCACTTCTGGAAACATTGTTCAGCAGCGTTCACCTGAAGACCTACCCTGATTTAAATGAGATTTTCAGAAGCTTCCAAAATGGTAACTATACCTCTCAACAGCTTTTGGGGATTCAAGTCCATTTCATTCACTGATTAATCCATTCGCTCTTCATTAACATTTGACAAATATTTTACTGAGTGACTATTTCATACCAGGCACGGGGGAAGTACAATGGTGAAGAAAACACAAGTGACCTGTGTCCTTATGGAGCTTACATATACTGGGACACTGCACTCCAGTCTGGGCTACAGAGTGAGACCTTGTCTCTAAAAAAATAAAAATAAAAATAAAATGGCATAGTATTTGTATATAACCTAAGCACATCCATCTGTATACTTTAAAACATCTTTAGATTACTTGTAATAAATATCTAATACAAGTGCTATGTACATAGTTGTATTGTTTTAAAATTTGTATTATTTTTTATTTAATAGATTTTTTTCAATATTTTAGACCTGAGGTTGGTTGGATCCACAGATCCAGAACCCATGGATAGGGAGCACTGATTGTACCTAGGCACAAATTTTGAGTCAATGTTATATTCGTAACCAGGATGTTCCAGACCATGGGTGCAAAGAGAATGGAGTTACCTTTACTGCCCACATCTCAGGGGCTCTCATCCCCTCCATGGACTACAGGGATCCCCCTCCCCAGGGGCCCCACCCACATCTCACGTGTGAGTTTTCGGCACTCCCTGTGCTTGGGTGGCAGGCACCCGAGCTCACGGCTGCTGGACAGCACTGCCCACCGCCTGGGCTGGTGCAGCCACCAACCTACCCTGGGCAGTCGCTGCTGCCTTGCAGACCTTGAAGTCCATGAGAGCTACAGGGCAGGGGCCCAAAGCTGACGAGCTGGGAGCTGTGGGTTCCAGCTGCCACCTCCCTGCTGCTCCTTCCCCACCTTCATTCTGTGCTGAGAAGCCCCCACCTTGCACTGAGATGGCTGCACTCGGGCTCCCTTTCTGGTCTGTAGATTGCTGACCCATGCAGTTTCCTCCATGCCCTCCTCCAGATCGTGCCTGGACATGGAGTCAGTGTGTCCTTGGGGTGGAAAAAGTATTGATTGCTCCCATAGGTACTCTGTTCACCCCCTTCTACTCCCCCCAGCTCAGTGGGTATTGCCCCCAGGAGATGAGCTCCCTTGTCAGTCCTTTTTTTATTATTATTTATTATTTTTATTTTTTAGAGACAGATTCTCGCTATTGTTGCCCAGGCTACACTCAAATTCCTGGGCTCAAGTGATCCTCCTGCCTCAGCCTCCCGAGTAGCTGGGACTACAGGTGCGCCACTGCCCCCAGCTCGTCAGTCCTTAAGTGGCATCTTTCTATATTTCCTGGGTATTTTTCCTCATGTCTTATAAGCCTTGCTTCTCCATCTGTGTTTACTGGGTCATCTTGAAATGTAGCTCTGAAGCTGCTGGTGCGCTGGGCTGGTTACCTGCACCATTGTTGCCACCTCCCTGGGTCATTGGTATAGCTGTGATAATATTCACGTCCTGTTTGTGCCTTTCAGAAAGTGTTATCATTTGTTTCCTGGATCTCTCCCCACCCTTCCCACAAGGAGAAGTGCTACTTCCTCTTCACCGCTGTTTCTTGTAGCCAGATCATCTTCCCTACCCAATTAAACCAAAGATCCCACCTTCCTGCCTTCCATTCTTCCTTCTTTCTTCCCCAAACCCCCATCTCTATGCTTAAAAGCTATTGGGGCTTTCTTTCTGCTCTCCTTCTTCTTCTTCTTTTTAAAAATGTAGATCTATTTCTCTATAACCATTACCTTCTCCAGTGGACAGCCTCTGCTTCTTCCCTATTCCTAGCTGCATGTAGTTTACAAACATTCTCCACATTTATTACTTATTAGAAGTTGGCTTTCACTGTTCTCTGCTCATTTTAGAGGAAGATTAAGCAGTATTTCCAACCTTCCCACTGTCCATCTTACTTAAATCTTGAGAGGTGCATCTCTGCATGGAATGGCTGTTGTATTCCAGGGGTAACATTGAGTCAGAAGCTATTTGGGACCCACTGAAGCCCAGGGTGCTCCGAGGGCTGGACAGTTCCACTGAGCCACTGGAGTAAAGATGCACCTGGATGTATAATTGTGGGATGCAGCCCACAGTCACAGTTTGGGATCTCTAATTGTCCTTTTCCCTCTCTTCTCAGTGATTGGTGACTTCTATTACCAAATCCATGAAGAAGAGATGCAGGAGATACTCAGTATCCAGTCACGCCAGGAAGAAGGTAATTATCCTTTGCTAAAAACTCGTTTTCTCATCTTCTAAGAGGAAAAGAGATTAGCAATCCGAGGACTAAACTCCTGAGTGGTGATTGTGACCACAGGGAAGGGAGGTAGGAGGTGACAGAGAAGGCAGAGCAGTGGCATTTTGTATGGGTTCTTAACTAACCAACCAGACTTGGAATCCAAGAGTGTTGCCAGGCAGGTGTGACAAGCAAGGAGATGGAGCACACCCGGGAGAGAGCACTTCAGTGCCACTGTGAGCTGGAGTTAAGGGGTGAACTGACCACGGTAATTGTGAGTCAGGCACTCAGTGGATCTGGGAGGGGGTGAGGGTTATGGTCCCACGTGACAATTCCAAAGAGGAAGCCTTTGGTATGTCAAAAGTAGGAGCTGTTGTAAGTGTTACTCATAATAACAGAAAAGAGAGCAAGAGAGTGAGTAATAATTACACGCAGAAGAGAACGTGGAAGGAGTAGTGCTGTGTGGAAAAGAACGAGAGGAAAAAGAAAAGGAAGTGAGAGGAGAGGAGAGAATGAAGGGCAGCACTAACAGTAGCACTAGAAACCATACCTGCCTTTCACCGGCCACTCAGCATATGGAACAACTCATTTAATGCTCATGTATCAAACATGTACTTTTGTACGTGTTTGTAACATAACTACCATCTCTAGCTTTTCAATTATCCTTTTGTTCATATTATTATTAATAATTAAATTATAACCTAAGACATTAACACAGAATATTATGATTTCCTGATAAGTTACTATAACCCAGGTATCTCTATACAAGTAGCATCTTAATCCTCATAGCCATCCTGTTATAAGTGGTTTGTTATTTCCATTTTTTAGGAGACGGAACTGAGGCATGGGGATATTGTGTGGTTTGGGCAAGGTCACACGAGTAAGAATTAGCCCATCCAGGACTCAAACAGTCTCTGTCCTACCAGTTAAGAGCAAGGATTCCAAGGCCCCAAAGCCTGGCTTCAGAGCTTTGCTCTAATACCCTCTTATTTGGGAAACTTGCTTAATTTCTCTGTGTGTCAGTTTCCTCATCTATAAATGTATAGTTATAATAATAAGGTTATTGAGGCAATTAAATGATGTATGTGAAACACTAATAAAAGTTGGTGGCACAAAGTAACTAGTATATGCTTATTATTATTATAACATATATCTGATTCCAACAACTAGGCATTTAAGCTGGGCTCTAAATTTTGAGATTTTTCACCTCAGACACCCACTGAGGAGAAAATTATTTCCCAGAATAGAGGAGCAGTGACAGAAACAACCTTCAAGCCCAAGGAAGGTTCTCCGTCCTTAAACTGATGGTCTACAATAAATTTATTTAATTGTTAAATGTTGGTTTTCCTTGGAAATGACCATGGTAAGAAAAACCCCAAGAATATAAACAGCCTTGTGAAATATCATTAATATTGTGATTTCATTTGGATTTATACCTAGGCTACTATGTATTTTTAAAATGTATTAATACATTTATATAAAAATTGGATCTATTTTAACAATATTATTTTGAATGTAGGCAAGTCATTAAAAGTATAAAATCTACATTGAAAGTACAAAGTCTATGAAAATATATTAGAGATTCATCTACTGAGGGTGTTGGGAATGAGAATAGGGTGGATGGAAGGATTCGTGATAGTTATTAGTAAAGAGCAAAAGAGGTTCATCGTGAGGGGAAGGGGAAAGAAAGTCTTTAGGATTTCTAATGTGATCTAGGGATAACCCTGCCAGGAGCCGGAACCCCAGAGCATCTCGGTGACGGGGAGCAGATGGACACAAGGGAAGAAGATTTGTCTCATGACTCACATGATGAATTAAGGACTCAAGAAACCACAAATGAATGTGCCCAAGAATCTGAACAAGAAGGTGAGGCCAGCTGACTGTCCAGTGTTTGCCCCCATGCCTGACTGTGAGTGACTGGAGCACACCCAGGGAAGGGGTAAGGGCTGTTCTGTGTGCTCGTATTTGGAAAGGAGGCCCCAGGGAGCCAGGAATGAGGGCAGAGGACTAGACCAGTGCCTGAGGCTAGGAGACATTTATTTACCAAGAAAGGGTGTCCCATTTCTGTGGCAAAGGGGAGAGAGAGAGAAAAAAAATACACACAGAAAGAAGGTAGGATATTGAAATAACATGGGTATAGAGAGAGCCAGAAGGGGAAACTATAGAGCAAAGAGGAAGGAGCCGAAAAGGCTCAATGGGGAAGAGAGACAGAAGCACAGGTGATAGGAGTGGCCAATGAGATAGAAGCACTCAGAGTCAAGGATGCACAAATACCTGCCCAGCACTGGGAACCAGATTGTGAGTAGAAATGTGAGAAATGGCCAGAAGTAGAATGAATTGTAAAAAGATTGAAAAAGAGGCAGAGCAAACATGGAAAAAATGAACCTCCACTCCTGCTACACATCATCCATAAAAATAATTCAAGTTGGGTCACCAATCTCAAAGTTAAGGCTAAAACTATAAGGCTTCTAGAAGAAAATAGGAGAATGTCTTTGCAAACGTAGGGTAGGCGATAATTTGTTATATAGACACAAAAACATGGACGTAAAAGAAAAACTTGGCAAGCTAGACTTCACCAAATTGAATACTTCTGTCTATCCAAAGACACTATTAAGAAAAGCAAAAGACAAGCCATAGACTTGGGAAAAATGTTCATAATACACATATCTAACAATGGATTGTGTCTGCGATATATGATGAACTCCTACAAACGAATGATAAAAAAGACACAACCAATTCAAAAAATGGACAAAAGACTTAAACAGACACTTCAGGACAAAAGATATAAAATAGTCCATAAGAATACAAAGTGTACAACATCATTAATCATCAGGGAAATGAAAATTCAAGTCACAACGAAATCCCATTCATCCACTAAAATGGCTAAAATTAAAAAGACTGACAACATCAAATGTTGATGAGAATATGGGATAATTGGAACTCCCATCCCTTGCTAATATGAATGTAAAATGATAAAGACCACTTTGGAAAACTGTTTGGCAGTCTCTTACAAAGTGAAACCTAACCTATGACTCAGCAGTTTCACTCCTAGGTATTTACTTGAGAAGAATGAAAGCATGTGTTCACACAGAGATTCGTGTAAGAATGTTTAATAACAGCTTTGTTCATAAAAGCTAAATTCTGGAACCAGCCCAAATGCCCATCGACAGGAGAGTACATAAACAAACTATGACATATTTATAGAGTGTAATACTAGTCAGCAAGAAAAAGAAATGAACTGTTGGTATATATAACAACATGGATAAATCTCAAAAACATGTTGAGCAAAAGAAGCCTGCTGCAAGAGTACATACTGCATGATCCTGTTTATATGAGTACAGACAAGTACAGTCCCAGAAAGGAAGGACCTATTGATGGTGACAGAAATCAGAATAGTGGTGGCTGAAGCACAGGGAATTTTCTGGGATGGTGGAAATGTTCCAGATCTTGACTGGGATGTTGGTTTCACATGGATTTATACTTAAGACATTGTGTATCTCAGTAAAAAAAAAGGGCAGCAAGGCCGTGTTGGACCTCAGATGGGGTCCTTGGAGCTTGAACATTGGAGTTCAGGTTGAGCACACTGAGGTCCCTCCTCTGCCCACTGTCTGAGTTCAGTCATTCTCGTGTTGTTCTCCTACCTTAGCCCTCTATTACTTCTCAGTCCTTCTCCCCTCACACAGCCATTTACCTGCCCTTACCTGCCAACAGGTGTGAGAGAAAACATGAGAAAGGATATCTGAGCTCTTGAATAGATACAGTCTCCATTGGTGGAGAATATAAAAAGAGAATATGGAAAAGATAGTCAGGAGGTAATACATGACAGATTACATGAATAAATTCAGTTTTCTAAAGGAACATAAAATCCTACCCTCCCAGGTTGGGATGGGGGGTTTATTTTCAATTAACTTCACAGAACCATTGAGAGAAACTCAGAAATAGCATGCCATGCCAGGTTCACGTGGGAGATCTTCATTACAAAGTTGGCCAGTGGGGATTCCCTGGTGCTGTGGTGGGAGGGCAAGAGGAGAGTTTCAGAGGAGGGGAGGGAGGCGAACCTGTAGGATGAAATTGCACAGGGAGACAAAAATTTAAATAGTATTGGCAGACAGAGGTTAGGGTAAGGTGGGAGAAACACAGATGGAATGGGAGGAAATATAAGACACAGCAGAGAAGAGATAAACTGAAAAAGCTGTCAGGATCAGAGGTAAAAATGGAGAGGAGTATGTGGGAAAAGAAAGATGAGAGAAAAATAAATAGCAAGAAATGGGGAAAGTCAGGGAGAGGTGCAGAGGCACCTTTGTAGAGAACGGGTTAAAGAAGAGAGGTATAAAACTACTTGTGAGTGAAAACAGGATAAAAGCAGAGAGAAACAGACTGAGACATTGTAGGTTTGAGGTAACAGCACTGGATATCAGCAAGTTTGGGCACAAATGTTGGTTCTATCAGCTGTGGATTTTCAGATTAATCCAATTATCAAAGTGGCACTTTCAAAAGGTCTTTCCCTGAGTAGTCAATGATTCCCAAGCACGAATGTCCCCTCTAAATTGTCTTCAGAGCACATTTATCCATGGACCTGAAGACCAGAACCCAGGGGTCTGATAGAGGTCTACACTTAAATTTTTCAAGAACCTTACACCTGGCACTTCCAGAACTGAAAGCAATATCCTCATTGCTCAAGCTAGATCCAACTCTGCCTCAGTGTTCTGTCTCTTAGCAACAGATTGCTACTGTCCCATGGTTTTTCAAGTTGGAAACCTAAGAATCAACGATGACTCCTCCCTTGCCCTCAAATGCATTAATATGCCAATTGCTTATCCAACATAGTCATTTCTTCTCCAGATTACCTCCCACCTGTCCATCTGTTGCATCCCCAAGGCCAGGTGTCTGGTTCAGATCTCTTCACTGTCACGGTTCTCAAGGCAACATCTTCTGCTCATCTCCTTCCTCTAATCTAGCTCCCATCAAATGCATTATTTGCACTTCAATAAAGATGATTCAGATTGTATCGATTTCCTACTTAACTTCTCAATATATTAAGGATTAAATAAATGAGTTATTTTAGTGGCATTCAAGGTCATCCACAATGAGTCACTTGCCTTTTTCCTCAGTCTCATCACCTGCCTCCTAAAATATTACTTGAAAGTAGAATAAAATTCCCCCAATGATTTCAGTTGTTAAATCCCTTTTTCAAACTGAGCCTTTTCATATGTTCGTTCTTTGCCTACTTTAGAACTGGTTTCATGCCCCACTACCTTCCATTTACCCTTCTCCAATTTGGTTAAATCTTATTTAAAATATGCTGTCTGACAGAGGCTTTGCTTTAGAGAAAGCTACAAAGGAACAATTAAGGGACAAAGGATGGGAGAGAAGAACAGTATCCGAGAAAGTAAAAGGAAAAGCTGCAGGAGACGGGAAGAGAGAAACACACCTAGAGAAAGAGGCTCCAAGAGACACCTGCAGGGACAAACAGGCGGAGATTAAGAAAGTGGAAAGAAATGAATGAGAGAATGAGAAAGGGAAGGAGGTGTACGAAAAGGAAGATTCTCCCATGAAGGGTGAATTATTTCCAGCTGCTGGTGAAGGTTACCGAAATGAAGTTAACCTTTGGGTCAGGTTGTCTGGGGAGTGGGGACACTCTAGTTTCTCAGGCTTCGTTGGTTTTTCTCATTATTTATTTTCTTGTGATGCTTTTCCCATCATAAATCAAGACATCTGAGGTATTTCATTCTTTTCTGCAGAGGGCAGCAACGCCTGTCCTGAAACACGTGATGTAGAAGAGCCTCAGGAAGCCTTGAGGTCCCCGCCAAGTTGTGGGCCTGGTAAGCAGGGGCAGATTGCTCTCCCTGACCTGCAGGGTGGCAGGAGGTGGGTTCAAAGTTGGTATTTCCTGAAGCGTTTGACTCTGAGCACACTTCACAGTCAAAGATCCAGTTTGTCCTGGAATTCCATGATTCACATAAATGTTCCTAAGTGCATGTTATAGTAGAAATATGCTAGAGTAAGATGATATCTTTCATGCCTATTAATAGTAAAAACTTGAATTTATACCTATCCACCCTTTATGTAGAGAATGAAAATGAAGTCTTGTTCTGTTAAATATTATTATTATTTTGTCCCTAAGTATAGAAAGCCTTCAAAAGAAACATGTTCCTTCAGATTAGCTACCCACGAATCTAAATTTTAATTTTTGTCAAATATTTTCCATTGTGTTCCTGTTTCACCTAGTGACTTTTCAAAGAATTTTGGCAAACAAGATGCCATTTTATCTCTACAACTTAAGAATTTAGGTGAGCAAACTGTGGATTATTCCTATTTTATAGACGGGAAAGTAGAAGCACAGACATGTGTAGGGATTATCACAGGTCAAAGGAGTGAAGCAAGAGCTGGGACCAGCATCCCTGACGACTCACTGCAGTGACGGTTGTGTGAGGCTGGCAGAGGATCAGGGTGGCCGGGCTCACTGAGCAGAGCTCACACAGGAGACCCCAGGAGTCCTGCAGGCTTCCAGGGAAGTGGGACGGGGCCCGGCGCAAGGGGACGGTTATCCAGCAAAAGTATTTCAGGGGAGAGAGCAGGGAAAAGCAGAGAGAGACAATAGGACTGGAGACTGCCAAGTGGGTTGCAAGAGATCTAGAAGAATGGAACCAGAGGAAAAACAGGGAGATGAGTAGGAAAAGTGATGAAGGGCATTGAAGAGAAATGGAGAAGAAAAAGAGAAGGAATCCCAGAGCGTTGATGAGATGTACAATGGTTCATGGTGTAGAAGCAACAGCATGTGGTGACTGAAAAATGAGGAGAAAAAAGTTGTGGCGGGATGACAAGAAGGAAAACACACAGAGCAAGGCTCCGGTAGGGCTCAGGAGAGGTCCTTGGAGCAGCCATACCTGTCTTCCAAGGAGAAGCTTACCTGAGCGCTGAACACCAGAATTGAGCAGGAACATCCTGAGTTCTGTCCGCTTGTCACTGTGTCTGACTGGTCATTTCCATGTTTCTCTTCAGCTTCCTGTGAGCAAGTAGTTCTCCAAAGGACTAATGGAGAAGATGCCAAAGAAATACCTAAATTGCTGCCAGGTAGTGGGAGAGGTAATTATGATTTAAATGACCAGTTACTTCATTAGGGTTGTTTGCCTGCCTGTATACAAGGGCCACTTCCTTTCCTTCCCTCCCACCCCCACAACACAGACACACTTGTTCAGCCTATGGGTTGTTCTTCCCCAGGTATATGGGAGGCGATGGGGAAAGGAGGGCTAAGTCCTTTAATGGAGGGGCTCCTGGGTGGAGAACTTAAGGGTAGAGAGTAATAAATATGTAGATTGGAGGCACCAGCTGGAGTTGCCTAAGTGGGCCCAATTTTACTAAATGAAGATGGAATCTAAATCCTACCAGGATGGGGCTTGAGAAGACGGAGATAATTTAAAACTTACTTGCCAGGGATTTTATAGGAATAATGAAATACTGTGTATAGAAGAGATGTAGTGGAAGTAAGTTAAAAGAATAAACAGGGAGGTAATGGGACAAAGAGGTAAAGAACATCATGGAGGAAGAAGACAGAAATGCAAAGAGATGGCAGAAGGCAGGGAGACGAAGCCAAGTTGAAGAGATCCAGGAATAGCTTCACGGTGCAGGTGCAGCAGTATGTGAAGACAGGGTTAGAGGGAGAAAAAAGAGAAGCAGAGAAAGGAAAGGGGCCTAACAATGTGCTAAAATAAGTGGAAAAAAAATTGGTTTCTGAAAACACAACTTTATTCCCAGGGAGCATCAGAGCTCAGCATGCCACATCCAGGTATGTGTCCAGGTCACTGCCAATTGTCTGTCATGTTCCTATTTCTCTCTCCAGAGTCTTGGAATCTTACTGTACAAATGGATGAAGAAGAATCAGAAGAAATGCCCAGGTTACTACCTTATGATAGAGAAGGTAATTAGGATTTAAATTACCTGTTATCTAATTAAAGCTTTATTTTCCCATCAACATAAAGAAACACCTGTTCTTTCATCTCCTCCTTTCCTGTCCATCCATCCTTCCAATTAAGACTTTAAGGGAAAATATAATGCTGTGGGAGGGAAGAGAAGTCATGGAGAGGCAGAAAGCATGGGAATGGAGCCTGCCCTTTGGGAGAGGAGACATCAAGAATAAGAGAGCTAAACAGATAACATTATAGAAAGGGGATACAGTATCACTGAAAAAGAAAGAGACACAGAAACAAGAGGCAGGAAAAGCCAGTAGGAAGGAAGCCCAGACAATGGAAGAGCTGCACCGCTAGGAAGCGGAAGTGTGTGGAGGTAGAGCTGTAGTTAGGACACTGAGAAGTAGACAGAAGGAGAAGGAGACACAGCAAGATGGCAACGAGGTGGAACAAGACTGTGTGACTCTCAGTGTTTGGAACAGACACATTGTTCTCCCATCTTGGATGGTATGAGCACGCTGAGTTCGGTTTCCAGGTCAGCCTCTGTGGTTCACCATTTCCTTGTTTCTCTGCAGAGACCTGTGATCTCCAAACCCCGCAGATGACTAATGAAGGAGAACCAGAGAAGGAGCTCAGTCTAGTGGCAGATGAAGGAGAAGGTAATTATGATTTAAATTCTCAACCACTTCAGTAAATCTTTGTTCTCTAGTTGGCACAGAAAGAAAGATCTCCCCTTTCTTCCATCCTCCCCTTTCTCCCATATTCCCTTTCGCTTCTTCACATTCACATGCATAGAGATGGAATTATGTCCACCTTCTGTTTTGTTTTTTCCAAAACTGTGAGAGAGACAAAAGGTCAAGGTGAGCTGACCCTGTGTGGAGAAGGTAGGGAGACAAAGTATGCCAAAGGCAGGCCAGGGGCACCAAAGAAGCGCCTGTGTGGTGTTATTCACTCACATCAAACCCAAATATCGGCAGGTTACAGCAGTTGAGGCCGGGGAGGCCGGGAGATTATTTTCAGCCTACTTCTGAAAGTACCAGGAACATGGACCTAAGGTTTGTGAATGATCGAAGGCTTGCAATTGAAAAAAGTCATGTGGGAGGCCCTGGAGATGGAGCTGACAAGGGAAAGGGCTGTGGTGCTGTGGTCCATGTGAAAATGGAAGAGCTTTTGTCAACCTGGGAGGAGAGATCTTTGAGAATGAAGAAAATATATAAAATAATGGAAATTTTACAGGCATCCAGGAGGGTAAGATAAAACCCAGAAAAACAGAGCCAGTCTCCCTGCCCAGCACACTGACAGGAGGCTACACCCCCACAGGCCCACATGCCCTGCGGTGTGCCATGTCCTCCTTGGCTTTGTGCACCGGCTGGCAGGCCGCGCCCCCTGCCCTGCAGACGCATAGGCCATGCAGCAGGATGTGGCCCTTGGTTCTATGCACCAGCTGGCAAACCAAGCTCCTGCGGCCCCTAGGGCTGACCAGGAGAACAAGTCCCCTGACCCTGCATGTGACAGTTGGCAGGCCATGCCCCCATAGCACCACACAACACCACACTGTGGTCCAGCTCTTCACCACAGACCCACTAGCCATAAGCCACTCCCCACTGCATACCACCATTACACCTAGATCTAGATGTAGTGAATGGACACAGCCCTGACCCCAGTGGCCACTGCCTAGATAGCCTCGCCAAACAGCCACTGCCACCGCTGTGGAGAGACCCTGGCGGAGCAATCTCCTACAATATCTACCTCAGTGGAAGGGACCCAATCCCTTGCCTAAGCTTCTAACAGCAGCCTAGGGACCAACCATCATTCCACGTGAAGATCCCCCAGCACTGGCCCAGGTCCCGCAGACAACCCAGGCATCCACCAAGGTCCTGTGACCTGCCCCACCGCTGACCGCAGTCCCCTGATGCACCTACATGCCCAAGAAGATCCCATGACCTGCTCCTCTTATGGCTGCAGTACTGTGACATGTCTGCGCATCTGCCAAGGTGTCACAACCCACCCAAGCACTGGCCAAGGTCATACCAACCACCTCTGAGGAGGGAAAGGTGGTGAAGAGCAGAGTCGGGGGTGCAAAAGAAAAAGACAGGAGTGGAGAAGGAGAAAGAAATACATTGAAACAAAGAGAAGCGTCTGGAGACACTGACAGCAGGAAATAAGTGCAGAGATGGAGAAAGTGAGCAGAGGAATCGGGGAGGGGAGAAGGAGAGAGAATTAGGTGTGCATGGAGGAAGTGAGCTGGTGGATGATTCTCAGCCTTGGTGATAGTGACTGGAGTGTGTCCACCTACAGTCCAGGTGAATCCAAAGGACAGACCAGGAGGGTCTGGGACAGGGACAGTCCCACCCAGGAGAGGCTTGAGCTTCCCACATCTTCACCAAGATTTCCTCTTGGTTGTATCCTGAGACCTCTGAGGGATTTCATTTCTTTCTACAGAGAGCAGCAATGCCTGTTTGGAAATGTGTGATGGAAAAGAGCCCCAGGGAGCCTCGAGCCTCCTGCCAACATGTGTGCCAGGTAAGAAAGGGGAGGACTTCTAGCAAGTTGCCAGAAGTTGGAATTCTGAGCCAGTGTTTCCTGATTGATTTTTCTCTGAGCATACTTCACAGTGAAAGAATCCAATTAATCATGAGATTTTTCACATTTTCTAGACATGGACCTTTTGGGAAATGCAGGGAAGAATGTTTATAAAGTCCATGTTTCACAGAATGGGTTTTATTGTTTGAACATACGTGGTCAGATATTCATGTGGTAGTTGAAATATTCCAAGGCAAGACAATATCTTCTCTCCTTCATATTTTTCATGCCTAAAGTATTAAATTTAATATGAAATATTAAAGTATTTTAACAAATACGATCTGATACCCTCACAAAACCTTAAGACAAGGGCAGGACAAGTGGGTAGTCCTACATTATCGATGAGGAAATAAAGGTCAGAAATGTGTGCAGGCCTTTTACAAAGTCAAATTGTAAAGGAAGAGCAGGAAGAATAGGTTTCTCGCTGCAAAAGATGATCTTGCAGGACAAGCAACACGGTCATGGCAGGTCACATGGTCCCCCAGGTATGTGGACAAGAGCCGGAGCTAGGAGAGTTATTGGGGAAAAAAAACATAAGGATTATCACTGGGGAAACAAAAGGTCAAAGAACAAAGATGTAAGAGAAACCAAGGAGAGAGCAGGCTTGATACTCGAAGAGATATACAAAAAACTTTACACCATAACAGCGGAAATATGTGGAGACAGCCTGTAGAAAGTAGATGTGACAAAAGCAACCTCTGGCATTTCTGTAGACAATTTTCAGACTAAGATGTCCCGAGGAGCAGACTAGTCCTTATAACACAGTCAGTAACACCTTTCCCTGGGCAATCTTGCTTGCTCTCCTGTATCCTAATGATGCTCAATTATCTGTCTGTGACTAAACCAGTCTTCTCAGGTCATTTACCCAAGTGCTGGAAGGCATTTATCCAAGGACAACGCCAAGAACATCAAACTGAAAACTTCCAGAATTGAAGCCAACAGCTTCTTCCCTGAAATGAGAACCTCTGCCTTCTCCATTGCTCACGGTCTCAGGAGTGGACCACTTTTATCCCATTTTTTTGGAGCCAGAAACTTAGGATTCATCCATGACTACTTCCTCCATTTCAACTCTATACTCCACCCATCACAAGTTCTGTTGATTCTACCTTCAAAACACCTCCTACCTGTCCTTTTCTCTCTGTGGCCACGTAAATCAGATCTCTTTTATTTTTTATTTGGACAAGAATAACAGATTTTATCTTCTTTTCTTCCTCTATTCTGGCTGATTCTCTTTGAAAAAATGCAAATCAGATCATATTCTCTTCCCACGAAACCCAATGATTTTGTTACTTTAATGACTAAACTACATTTCCTTCCTGTGGATTGCCAAGGGCCCCCACCATGGGACACCTGCCTTTCTGTCCAGCTCATCATTTCCTCTCCTGCTATGACTCTCAAGTTAGTATAAACCTTTTCAATAAGTTTAATGGTCAGCTCTCTCACATCCATCCTTTGTACTTTCAAAATTGTCACAAATTTGAACGCAAATTCAGGATTGTCATCTTGACCCACTTATCTCCCTGTCTCATGCTCTGATGTGGCTATGCTCTGTGTAAATTATACTACCTCTGGGATGGATTTCCTGATTCCTAGTTCTGGAAAGATATCCAGAAACAAAGACATATGGAAAGGCAGGGTTATAAGAAAAGAAGAAAGTCACAGGAGCAGAGGAGACAGAAAGACAAGTCAAAGAGAAGCACCAGGAAACACCAGCAGTAAGAAACAGGAGTGATAGAAGGAGGAAATGTTGAGAAGCAGGTAGAAAGGAGAACAAATGTTTAATAGCAACTTAGGCGTATAGAAAGGGAGCAGGAGACAAGAAAATGTCCCACGATGGTTGAATTGTTCTCAGCCTCTACTGATAACAGCAGAAGTCACGTGAACCTCTGGGTCAGGTATCCTGTGGGTGGGGAGATTCCCACCAAGGATATACTTGAGTGTTCCAGATCCTCCTGATTTTCTCATTAGTTGTTTTTTTCTGCCATGTTTGCTCCCTGGGTTATATACCGAGACTTCTGAGGAATTACATTTTTTTCTGCAGAGAGCAGTGCCTGTTTGGAAGCCTGTGCTGGAGAAGAGCCCCAGGGTGCTTTGAGCCCCCCACCAAGACTTGGGCCAGGTAAGGAAGGGGACAGTCTCTGGCCCTGGGCTGCAGGGTGTCAAGTGGTGGACACAGAGGTGCTTCCTGCTGGATTCTACTCTGAACACACTCCGGCCAATCCTTAAATATAATTCTCTGCAGTTACACTGGCCTTTTGAGGGAAACACAAAGAGAAATTCTTATAAATTGCATTTTGAACATCGTGACCCTTATTGTTAGAATATATGAGTTTCCTACTCATGTTATAATAGATACATACCAAGGAAAGACAGCATCTTTTTACTTTTCACTCTTTCTGCATATTTATATTAAAGACTCAATATTGTGATTTTAACCTTTGTCTGCTCCTTATTTTCTATAAAGTCCAAAAGCCAACTACTACTAGAACTACTATCTAGTTCTTGGTAATGATATTATTATATAGTCATAACCTTGGAAAGGCCTTAAAAGAAACACAGTTCTGAGATCCATCTACTTGTCAGAAAGAAAGAACCATCCGCAAACCCAAGTTACTGTGTTTATCCAATATTCTTCACCAGGTTATTGAATTATACAGCACTTTCTTCTTTTCAAAGTGCTTTGGCAAGGGATGGTTCCTTTTACTCTCAGAAAACATTAGGATGTAGCCAGGCAAACTGCTGTTATCTCTTTTTACAGATAAGGAAATGGAATCACAGAAAAAGCACAGTTGTTTTTCCCTAAAATCAAAGCAGGGAGGAAGAGCTAAGACCTGTGTCCTGGGCATCTCATTCCAAGTGATGGCTGTGTGGGCTAGGAGGAGGGTCACCATATGGTCACAGGGTCAGAGTCAGGGGGACCTGCACGCTCTCAGGGGTATAGAATGGGGCCTGATGCAGACAGACTTCTATTTGACCAACAAAGGATGTTGGTGGGGTGGGGAAGAAATCAAGGGAAACAGTGAGAGAAGGAATGTATCATTCTATAGAAATTGGGAAGAATTAGAAGAACAGAGGTAGAGAGAATAAGCAGAAAGAAAGAGATCAAGATCACTGAGGAAAAAATTATGTAGAAAAGCAAAGAGATAGGAGAAGTCAGGGAGAGTGGAGCTCACAAAACCAAAGACGCTCAAATACTCTCCTGGTGCAGAAGCCTAAATATTTGGAGGTGGGACTATCGGTAGGCAACAGCAGCAAAGAAAAGGCAGATAAGATGGAAAGAGGCAGAATAGGGCTCACTTGGGTTTCAGGTGTGGTCCTTGGAGCAGACATTTTCCCAAAGGGTAGCTTATCCGTGTTCTGAACTCCCTGGATCTACCTGAGCACACTGAGGTTTGTCCCCAAGCCCCTCTGCATGGTCTGTCATTTCCTTGTTTCTCCTCAGTGTCCTGTGGTCCTGAAGCTCCCCAGATGACTAATGAAGAAGAACCAGAGCAGGTGCCCAGCCAGCTACTAGGTGATGGAGAAGGTAATTGTACTTTAGTTTTCCCATCAACTAAGTGATTCTTTGTTTTTTTGTCTACAAGGAGGAAGATCTCCCCCTCTTCAATTCTAACCTGCTCCCTTTCACATACCCATACAGAAGAAATGCGTAGAGCCAGTGGAAAGGGTCAAAAATAGGAGAAAACGAGATGTTCAGTAAGGGAGTGAGGTGGTGGTCTGTCCTTAGCCTCTGGTGATAGTGAGAGGAGCTGTGTTAACCTCCATGTCAGGTGGAGGCAAAGGCAGGAGGATCTGAGGGCAGGAACATGTCCACCTAGGAGATACTTGAGCCACCTTGGTCTTTCCGGTTCTCTCAGAGTGGGTTTTCTTGCTGTCCCTTGGTCATACACTGAATTTTCTAAGGGATTTCATTCTATTCTGCAGACAGCAATAGTCTCTGTTCAGAAATGTGTGACAGAGAAGAGCCCCAGGAAACCTTGAGCTCACCACCAGAAAGTGGGCCGGGTGAGGAAGGTAAGGATTGCCTGGGTTGCAGGGTGTCAGGGTGCTGAATTCTGAGATGATGTTTCCTGGTGGATTTTACTCTGAGCACACTCCACAATGAAAGGATGCAGTTAATCTTTGAATACCATTCTTCATATTTACCCTGGTCTCTGGGGGAAATACAGGGAGATGAGAAACCTTCAGAATCTCCATGATTAGGAGTTTTGTTGTTTGATGGTAGGTATTTATGTATTCAGTTATAGTAATGTCTTAGCTTGTTTTCTATTGCTGTAACTGAATACACAGACTCAGTAATTTATAAAGAATAGAGGTTTATCACCATCAAATTGGTATTAACTCCAGCCTGAGCAAGAGCGAGACCCCGCCTCTACTAAAAATTAGAAAGAAATTAATCGGCCAACTAAAAATATATAGAAAAAATTAGCCGGGCATGGTGGCACATGTCTGTAGTCCCAGCTACTTGGGGGGCTGAGGCAGGAGGATCGCTTGAGCCCAGGAGTTTGAGGTTGCTGTGAGCTAGGCTGATGCCACGGCACTCACTCTAGCCTGGGCAAAAGAGTGAGACTCTGTCTCAAAAAACAAAACAAAACAAAAAAATTGGTATTAACTGATCAACACATAAGTGCACAAATAAGAATAACATCTATTGGATGTTGGGCAGGGGGAGGGGGGGGGGGGGAGGAGGGAGGAGGGGACGGGTATATGCATACACAAAGAGTGCAATGCGCACCACCCGAAGGATGGACATATTTGAAACTCGGACTTGGGGGGCGGGCAAGGGCAACATACGTAACCTAAACATCTGTATCCCCATAATATGCTGAAATAAAAAAAAAAAACTAAAGGGCCATTTACTTTATAATTGAAGGAGGCTTTTCTGATATGAGTAATTTAATACAAAAGGATGTGGACCAAAGCAAGGTATGACTTGCCTAATAACAAAAAAAGATGGAAAAGAAAAAAGAAAAAGGAAAAAAAAAAGAAAAGAAAAATAACATATATAACAGAACCAAGATACACTTTGGAAAATTCACTAAACTTCAAGAATAAAGAACGGATGAAAACGTCATGGAGGGGAAAAAAGGAAAATGGTAAGTCATCTGGCATGGCCAGCATTACAGTAGACATCCTATTGACAATTTCAAGGGAGATATTTGCTTAATGATATTTGCTTGATTTCTCCACTCAGAAGACAGGATCTGCTTAGAGGTACAAATTTAGGAATCATTAGCAGATATATTTTGAGTCATTTGAATAGGTAAACAATTAAAAATAAATATAGCAAGAGAAGGGGAAAAGCCTTAGGACCAACTTGCTGAAGAGCAATTACATACACAGGTATAAAGAGCAGAGGCAGAAGGAGGGTTGAGAAGGACAGGATAGTTAGGTACAAAGCAAACAAAAAGATTTGGTGTCATGGAAACCAAGAGTGATAAGTCTTCTGAGAAATGGAAATAGAGTGTTTTTTTTTTTTTTTTTTTTTAGAAGGCATCTTTTATTGTAAGAATTCTAGTTATTTTCCAGACACAAAGTACCAACTCTTAACATGTTAATGTGGGTCAAGAAGCAAGTATTGCTGGATCAAAATTGCAAAGGAGAAAACAAGAAGGCTGAGTTATCTGGTCCAGTAGAAACATTGTCAACCAGGATCTTTTTTTTTTTTTTTTTTTAAATCCATGTAAATTGTATTTATTTCATTCTTGCCTTTTATAAATTAATATTCACAGCTTATGTTTATGTAAAATATCACATATTATGCAAAATGTTGTAGACTAGGGAAAATATTATATATTATCTCTGTAGTACATGTCCATAATTTAAAAATAAGCATGAGTATATGGTACAAATGCTTTTAATTATAAAAGTGCTGTGTAAAAAAATGTGTAGGCCACTGTCTAGATATGTGAGCCATGGTGGGATTTGGAGCAATAGAGGAGCACCAAGGACTTGCCACCAATGACCAAAGAACGCCAAGAAATTCTGCCATTTCTAAGGCCCTTGTAGAAGGTTCTCCCTAAAGTAAGTGCCCCCAAAACCAGGGTCTCTCACCAGCAGAAATGAAGGAAAATCAAAAAGAAGGACACATTGAATGTGGCTCTCTTTCCCCAAGTGGTCACAGCTAGCTGTGGTTCCATTTGGTGCAATTATGTAGCATCTGGTTCCCTAATAAGGGACTCGGGGGCTGAGCTCAGGGTGCAGGGATGGGGGTAGGAGCACTGTCAGTGCCCCTGAGGGACCTTCCCCGCAATGTGCAAAGCCCTAACCCCATCCCTCACATGATCCAGCTCTCCACTGGACAGATATCCCCAAAGCCAGGAGGCACAGATGGATGGGCCATCCTGGGCACTAAGGCTGACATCACTGCTCACCTGCCAGGTAAATGGGGAGAGAGGTAGAA